TTGTCTTCAACCAGTGTATTACCCTTATATGGATCACTTCCAACATATTTTCCAACCCTCTCTCATTTTCTAAGAAAATCCTTGAATTCCTTTCTTCCCATATTGTCCAGCAAACAGCAGCTCTCACACACCTCCACATGATCCATGATCTTTTTGTTGGGTAGTTAACAGAGGAAGAGGTAAGCAAGCTTTGCACATTCATTGGGGGAGTCCACCTGCACCCAAACAAAGAAGCAAACCATTCCCAAATATTTTTTACCAAAACACAGGATATTAGTAAGTGGTAACCGGACTCACCATCAACTCTACAGAGAATACACCAGTGTGGAGATAAACAACTATTGGGTCTTTTTCTTTGAAGTAAGTCACATGTGTTAATTTTTTCCAGAAAAGCTTCCCAACCCTCAAAGGTATAGGTTGACACCACACATCCTTGACAGGGAATGACAAGCCAATAGGACTTTCCAGATGCAACAAGGCTTTAAAGAAGGAGGCACAAGTAAAGGATCCAGAAGGAGACAAGGTCTAGATCCTACTATCCGTTTTTGTCGGCTCCAAGAAAACCCCATCAAGAATGGACAGGAGATTAGAGGTACAATTCAGTTCTGTGTCCCTGAGGGCTCTTCTCAATCCCAAGTTCCACCCAAACCCAAAATTTGAATTTGAGGGAACAAGGAAAGTGGCAATTGGTTCATTTTTGAAGGTGGAGTTTGCAAAAAGGGCCGGAAATTGGTCTTTCAACGGAAGATCCCCAATCCACACATGTTCCCAAAACTTAATTGAGTTACCCAAGTGCAAGTCATACCTGATCCAAGGAGAGAATAGAGGCAAAATAGCATGGATTGATTTCCATGGTGATGCTCTTGTTGCCATAGCCATAACCCTAGAGTCCCATCCATTCTCTGCAAGCCCGTGAATACTGCCAATTATCTTAGCCCACAACTTTTCATTTTCCAGTGAGAATCTCCACAGCCATTTCCCTAGTAGAGCCAAGTTCCTCTTCCTAATATTCCCAATCCCTGAGCCTCCCTCCTACTTACTTCTACACACCACCTCCCACCTAACTCTATGATCCTTTTTCTCCTCCCCAGGCTCCCACAAGAAATCTCTCATCAACTTTTCCAACTTGTCAGCCACCCCTGCAGGCACCTTAAAAACTGAAAGGTAATAAACGGGCAGGTTAGCTAAGGTAGCCCTGATTAGGGTGATTCTTCCTCCTAGAGATAAATAATTCTTCTTCCAAGATGCAAGTCTCTTTTCAAACCTCTCCATAGCCGGAGTCCAAAAACTTCATTTCTGAGGATTATCTCCAAGAGGAAGACCGAGGTAAGTTAGAGGCCAATCCGACACTTCACATTCCAAAATGTTTGCACATGCAAAGATCTCACTTTCCCCCATATTCACACCCACCACACAACTTTTATCAAAGTTAACTTTTAGATTTGACATTTGCTCAAAAAGTTGTATAATGTGTTTCAAATTCCTAATCCAAGTCATGTCCCCTACCCTCATAGAAAAGAATCGTATCATCTGCAAACTGCAAGTGTGTGAGTGGTATATTCTCCCTGCCTACCCTCCACCCTTTGATTAAGCTCCTAGAGTCTGCCCTAGAGATCAATCTCCCCAAGACTTTAGCAACCAAGGTGAACAAGAAAGGAGAAAGGGGGTCTCCTTATCTTATTCCCCTCAATGCCGGGAAGAAGTCCACCACCGTTCCATTCACCAAAATAGAGTAATGGCAAGTCCTAATACACCCTAGCACCCACCTGCACCATCTATCCCCAAACCCAAAATTGATCATCACCTCCAACAAAAAGGACCAATCTACCAAGTCATAGGCTTTTTCCAAATCTAACTTACAAACCACACCCTTTTTCCTTGATTTCTTGAAGTCGTCCACACTCTCATTTGCTATAAGTATTTGATCAGTTATCTGCCTACCTCACACAAAAGCTCATTGGTTATTTGACACAGTGGTAGTGAGTACCTGTCTAATTCT